TTTTTTCATTTATGTGCACTTAATAGAAACAGAATTAATGCCATTTCGGCATTGAAGGTGGCTGGTGAAGAAATTTTAGATCCGGATTAGATGAGAGCCTTTGTCTTCGATTATTTCAAGGATAATTATAATACAAAAGCAACGCTAGAGGTGTATGAAATCAATCTTAATTTTTCGAAATTGACAGATGAACAAAAGAATGGTCTTGAGGTCAAATTTTCAGAACAGGAAGTGTGGGAAGCAATATTTTATTCGGACAATGTCAAAGCCCCGGGCCCAGACGGTTTCACGATGGGGTTTTTTAAGAAATTCTGGCATATCCTGAAGGTTCATATTATGAAATTTGTGGATGATTTTCATAGTGGAAGGAAGTGGGAGCATGGGGTCAATCATGCATTTATAACATTAATCTCCAAGAAATTAAATCCTGAAGGTATTGAAGACTACATACCAATAAGCCTAGTTGGCAGCTTATACAAATAATTTCCAAAGTTTTATCGAGAATACTTGTTTCAGTTATTAAAGTCATAGTCAGCCCTTCGCAGTTTGCCTCCTGGTAGACAATTGCTTGACTATGCTTTTCTGGCCAATAAATCCATAGATTTTTGGACGAAAAAAAGGGAGGAAATGAGTCGTTTTCAAAGTTATTTTCGTAGAGCATATGATTCGGTGGAATGGTCGATTTTATTGAGATTATTGAAAGTTATGGGTTTTAGGGATAAGCGAATTTCATGGATTGAATATTGTATTTCCTCTGCCTCAATCTCGATTTTAGTGAATGGGTCTCCAACAGAGGAATTTCATATGGGCAAAGGGTTGAGACAAGGCTGTAGTTTGTCCCCTCTTCTGTTTAATATAGTTGGGGAACTTTTAAATTTAATGTTGATTAAGGCTGTTGATCTTGATCCATTTGAAGGGTTCAGAATTGGTAGGGCTGATAATCTTTTCCATTTGACTAATTTACAGTTTGCAGATGATCTAATCCTATTCTACAGAGATTCTCCTACTCATATTCTTAATATTAGGAGTGTGATGAGGGTTTTTAGTCTAATGTCAGGGCTACACCTTAATCTGTCCAAGAGTAAGATGTTTGGTGTTAATATGGAAGATGACATTGTAAAAGAATGGGCATATTTAGCAGGCTGTGGGGTGGGATCATTTCCTATGACGTATCTTGGTTATCGATAGGTGCAAAGAAAAAAATTCAGAGTTTCTGTGGGAGCCAGTAATCCAGAAATTTAATAACAGATTAGCAGGTTGGAAAGCTTCCTCATTATCGATGGCTGGAAGATTGGTGTTGGTGAAGTCAGTGTTGTCCTCCTTGCCGATTTTCTTCCTCTCTATTTTCAAAATTCCGTTCAAGGTAAATCAGAAGTTGAATTTATTGATGGCTAAATTCCTTTGGGGGGAAGAACCAACAAAGAAACGGATTCATTGGGTAAATTGGAAAATGGTGTGTCAACCCTATGAAGATGGTGGTTTGGGAGTCTTGGATCCGAGTTTGATTAATAGAGTGTTGCTTGGGAAATGGGTTTGGAAGTTTGCAAATGAAAAAGACTCTCAGTGGAAAAAGTTGTTTTGTTGCTAACATAATGTCATTAATTTATCTCTATCAATAAGTAAGGTCGTTTCTCCTCAAGATTCATGGATATGGAGAGGTATTCTGAACAATTATGAGAAAAAAGACGAGATTGGGGAGTGTTTGAGGTCTAATTCGAAGATCCAAGTAGGAAATGGTAGGTCAATTGCATTCTGGAATGATGTTTGGGTGAATGATCTTACCTTAAAGAATCATTTCCTTAGGATTTTTGCTTTATCGAATAATAAATGGGGGAAAGTGGCTGACTTTGGTTGCTTTGAAAATAATTGTTGGATTTGAAATATTCAGTTAAGGAGGAATTTATGCGACTGGGAATTTGATCAGTGGATTACTTTAATGTCTTTGATTGACAATATAGTTTTGACTGATTCAGTGGATGATTTTCTTGCATGGTCGGGGAAAGGTGATGGTTTGTTCTCGATTAAGTCTTGTAGACTGACACTTTCTTGCAGATCTGGAGGTAATTTTCAGTGGAACAAGTGGGTGTGGTCTCGATTGGCTCCTCCTATAGTTGAAACATTCCTTTGACAGATATCTCACCAGAAATTGGTTGTTAGAGTGGAGCTGAAGAAAAGAGGGGTTCCCTTGGAAGATGTTCTTTGTCCTTTATGTCATAAGTATGAAGAAACAATTCAACATCTTTTTATCTCATGTTCAGTTGCAGGGGAGCTGTAGAATAGATTCCTAAGGTTATGGGATCTCTTCAGTTTTTCCCCAACTCTTCCCTACTTTGTTCTTGGTCTTATCTAAGAGCTTACTCTTCTATTTGGAAGTTTATCCCGAGAGTTGTTTTGTGGTCATTATGGAAGATTAGGAATTCGATGGTGTTTGAAAACTAGAAATTTGACAGTTCTTTATTTCCAGATTTAGGCTGGCTAAATGGTTTTTAGCTAAATTCCCTCATGCTAATATTCAGGCTGACTTACTAGTAGGAGATCAATTGCTTGTAGACATGATTCCTATTAAAACTTCTAAGAAGAAGAAGGTTCACTGCTGGTTTCCACCTCCACCTGATTTTTTTAAATTCAATGTGGATGGGGCGGTAAGAGGTGATGGGTTGCAAGGTGGAATTGGAGGAATTTTGAAAGATTCGAATTGCTCTACTTTAACAACTTTCTCTACTGCTGTGGGACCAGGTCCTCCTACGTTCGTGGAGTTGAAAGCCATTAAAGGCATTGATTTATTCCTTTCTTCTGAACTTTGAAGGGAAAACTTATCTTAGAGATTGATTGTAAAACAGCAGTTGACTGGATTTTGATGCCATTTTTTGCCCCTACGTTTTTCAGTTCTTTGGTTGGGGAAATTGGGGCCCTAGTTTCTGCTAGGGAGATTATTGTTAGATTGATTCCTAGGAGTTGTAATTGGGAGGCAAACAAGTTAGCGAAGGAGGGGATTGGATGAATGTTTGGAGCTTTATTGATGTTTAGTTCTGTATTTTATTTCGGGGTGTTTATTGTGTAAGTTGTAATCTTATGTAATTATGGTTTATTAATAAATTTAGATACTCTTTTCCTCCTTCCGCTAGTAGCCTCTTCACAAGAGCCAACTAATAGGAAGATTTTTAATGAGGCCTTCTATTTCTATCAAAAAAATATATCTTTCACTAAGGGGCAGTATTAAATTCCAGATCTGACTCAAAATAATGAGGAAAGATGTTAAATAGGAAACCTTAGTTGTTGAGCAATCAATTGGTGATGCAAGCTTAAAGATACCTTGAAAGGCACTAGTAGGTTTTATTTTATCGACAGTGAATGCGGAGATGTGTAGAGTTTCATTACTATCAGCCGATTAAGTTTTGACATAGAGCTGAACTTTTAACTTGGGCATTAAAACAAATATTTAAGCCGCCCTTGTAAAATACTATCTACTGAAAATAAAACTTGCTATTTCCTTACACACGCAAAAAGTCAAAACTTGATTCTACCACCTATGTGAGGTCAGTAAATTGAATAACAAGCATAATATTCTCACATTATGGTATTTAATCTTCTTCTTTTGACATGTTTGTTGTCTGAATCAAAATGGAAGACTTGGTCGGTTTCGTGGAATTCTTATTTTGGTTTGGAAGTTCCTAGTTGATGTAGAACTGCTTTTTAGACTCATATTTCCTGAAAGGCTGAAAAAATTAGTGGAAGTCTTCTACGCATTTGTAATTTTTTTTTTGAATAGTCTAAGGGTGATTACAAGATAGTATCTGTTAAAATTCTTTCTTATCCATTGACAACGCACACCCACTCGTAGCTGCTTGATTACCTCTAGGGAGAATGAAACTCCCTTTAACTACCAAAGTCATTTGTAAACTTTTAAAATAACATCAGCAGTATTAGTCTTGTAGTGACCAAATTTAGGGAGAGAAGATGGAATCCAACAAATTCACCGACCAGCAGGATAAGCAAAATCAAGCTTGACCACTTAGAAATTCACCTAGTGTTTTCTCTTAGGAAATATGTCTATATATTTTGTCAATGAATGGAAATCAGGACTTAATGTAGCTTATCTCTAAGTAATGCACAGTGCTGGATAAGTTCAGTGATGAATACATTAGATTGCTCCCTTATGTTAAATTATGTATATGCAACTATTTTTCGCATGACTTTTGCCAAAGCATCAAAAGAAAAATTAAATCTTAAATTCTTTCTTCAGAGTTTTGCAATGGATTGTTCGAGATTTGATTTCGATAGGATTTAACATTTTTCTTTTTTCTTTTTGTTGCATGTTTTGTGAAAACCAGGGAATTCGTGAACAATGTATGGAATATCAAGATACTCTCTACAGTTGAAGTGCAACAGATGGGGAAAGAAGACCTGAATCCTGCCACATCTATCCCAAGCCCAGAGGTTACCCACCCCCACCCCCACCATTCCCAATAGCAGCAACCACTGCAAGATGACTCGCATGAGCCGGCATGAATTGAGAAGTTTAGGCAATGGAGTTGCATCATCTATTGGATCTCTTGAATACCAAAGGAAAATGCTCCTCCTGCTGAAGTTGGGGGAACTGGAAACCACATTTGCAGTGATCGAATGTTTAGCTGTTCTATGGTACTTTCATGAATTGTTAGAATTATGTTGAAACTTCACCGTTTTTGTTTTGCAAGACTTCTGTTGAAAGCTTGGGTATCAGAATACCAGTGTAAAATTGTAACAGGAAAACATCCCCAACTTACATATAAGTACATTAAAGAACAAAGGTTCAACTAGGGAGGGATAATTATGTTATCAGCAATTCTCTTTGCTGTTCTGCCCTGCGGCTATCAGCTCATATTATCTTTTGTGATTAGATCTAACTTTGTTTATACATCACAACAGATCAAGATTGAAGGACTAAAAGGGACTGAAAATTTGATATTGAATTGAAAACCAATTACAGGAAACTGAATTCCTTTTTTAGTATCTGCAAGTTCTCCGATTTTAGTCGAAAACTGGCTTGCTAGAGACCAACCTGCCACCACATCGATAACAAAAATATCAGTAGCCATTAACATTAGAGATATACAATCATATAACTATGACATCGCGAGTAACCAAGTATAACAGCTCTAGTGTTCGGCCAATACTCTGCATAATTGAAGACAGTGATACTTTTTCATGGTTGAGGAGCATTACCAGAAGACAAAATTCCAAGCTTTACATATCAGAGTCTTCCTTGTCTTGATAACAATAACTTGAAGAAACTATAATTGACCCCTTTTTTCATACAATACGGCCTCCTGTATATCATCGATGTAATCTTCTTCATCTGAAAACTTGGAAAACCGGTTCACCTTAGTCTCCATATATCCTACAAGTTGGTTTGCCTCCTTTTGTTCATCCACAGTTTTTGCCAAAGACAAAAGGATGTTTTTCGCTTTCTGGTCAGGTGGAACACCATAAGCTTCCATTTCTTTATACCAAACAACAGCACTACCGAAATCCCTGTTCTTCCCATATGCATCCATGAGAGTCGTGAAGATGGTTTGATTTGCTTTGATACCATTTAAACGCATTTCTTCATACGTTTCCATCATCTTTTCAAGTTTATTTACCTTGGCATACCCTTTCATCAGCGTCCCATATGTGACAATATTGGGTCGAAGTCCATCTTGTTTCAATCTTGTGAAGAAATTTTCAGCACCCTCCATATCACATGCATTGACATAAGCTGATAGCATAGTTGTATAAGAACAGATATCAGGGGTATATCTGCAAGGAAATACAAACAAAAAGTTGAATGTTTCGGTACTGAATCAGTCGTACATGTTATTTCTTTGAAAGGATAAAGCCACGAGTAAACCATTTGGTGACCCTAGTAAACAATCAGGATTGAAAATGATATTCGCTATAAGGTCTATTGGATAAAGAAGGATGGGATATTTCTCTATTTTTCGTTGAAAACTGGAAGTTCTAAATTTGATGGACATTGCTTTGCTAAAATTCAGGTGAGAAAAAAAATAAAGTGGGCATCAAAAGGAAGACAAACTAAAGCAGCGAAGTTAAGAATATGAAAGCATATCTTATGAATTGCCCTGGAGAGGAAAAATTAAAGAAACAAGGATTAATTTGATTTCGGATGAATTCAAGAACAATTCCCAAATCGAATTTAAAGTGATTTAAAACTCACAAAAACCAAGGTTTTTCATGAGCAGCTTTCCAAGGCAGAACCACTGTATACATGGTCAGGTAACATCATTTACTACAACATTTTAGGGCTCATAGAATAATAGTCAATCAATATCAAATTGAGTGGCAATTTTATAAAAGGGATGGAGAAAAATAGAGCTCCGAACTATGTCAATTTTGAAATATCATCTGATCTCATTCCTAAAGCTAGGCTCACATCTAAAAGTAACTTACTTTTTCTTTTTTAAGTAAAAAATAGAGCTTGATCATGATGGAATAAACTAAAATAAGATACCTAAACATAACAACAGAAACCATTCATTGGGAAATGTCATTATAGTTGTTTGACTTTGAAATTATAACGCTTTACCTGTCTCTTCTCATGCTTTTGAAAACAGTCCGAGCTTGATCCACCATTCCCGAAATTGCAAATGCGTCAAGCAAAATATTATAAGACTTATGTGTAGGCCTGAAAAGTAGACAACATGATAGTACTAAGAATAGGATAGCATCAACTTTGGCAGATTGAATATGTATTAGCTGTCAAATAGCCAGCCACAACCTGGCAGTCAATTAGTGAACGAAAAAAACAAGAAACAGTAATCTCTGAGTTAAACCGCAAAAAATTGTTAATGGTTTGCCATTACATTCTAGTTGCATAGTGAAGTCATCATTATGCACCACCTACATCAACTTTATCCTGTTCACTCGATTCATATTAGCATTCTATCTGTATTCACGAGGATGCTCACTGAATCCATCAAATATATGAACCTAGCATTATTCCTGATTATATAAACTACAAAGAGTGATGAAAAAAACTATTCTATTGGGGCTAAAGCTGGTTAAGAAAGAACAGATGATCATCTAGGCCATTGATAAAATGTTTCCCAAGATTTAAGTCGCAAAATAAGACGTTTGGTTTGCATCCCATCTAATAACTACCTCAATCATCCAGGTGGAAGTTTAACCAGCCCTGTGAACTATACGGAACAAAAATTGTTATTACTTGAATAAATCTAAGATGCAAGCAACTAATTTGCATCAACTGTTTATGGAGTTGAAACATATTTTTGAAACAAGGTGTTGAGGGGAATTGATCTTAGACCTTAAACCCTCTAATGAAGTGTTAACTAAATGAGTTATGGACATCTATTAATCAACCAAACTGTTCTGATATGACCTATATGTCAGATGTCAAAAAAGAAAAGAAAAGAAAAGTAATGTACGTCTTTGCTGAATTTATTTTCTGTTCTATCTTTTAAGTGACTCTAGCTGCTTAACTAATCGCAGTAGTTTCTAATAAATGTGACTTCAGATTGGATATACAATTTGAACTTACACACCATACTTAAGTTTATCTTTTGCTTTTCCCCCCTCGTCCATGCCTCAGAAAAAAACTCCATTTAGTTTTTAGTTTTTAGCTTTACGTTCTGTCATTTTTGGTTATTTAACTATTAATCATGAGCGCTGGTGGAAAAAATATGAGAGAGAGCGGTAGAGAGGGAGTGAGAGAGAATCTGATAAGTCATTTTTCCTCTGGTGAGGAAAGGACGGCGTTTGTGGATAATCTGAGCAAGAGAGTTTCAAGGAGAGCGGTAAGGGAACTCTTCCAATACCAAGGTCCAGTCGTGCGAGTCTATATTCCGAGTGTAACCAACAAACCAAAATACAAAAACTCTACGTATGCTTTTGTTCAGTTTGCTAAGGAGGATGGTTTAAGGAATGCGATCGAGAACGTCAATGGATTGTGGCTTGATGGGAGGAGAGTATCAGTAGGGGCTGCAAAATACCAGAACCATCGATCAAGGATAACTGCTGCTGGCAGAGCCCAGGTGGAAGTTGAGAAGTCAAATAAGGACGAAAATAGAAGGAGAAGAGAGGGAGTTGAGTCTATGAGAAGGTTAAGGGATGAAAGATCCTACAAAGATGCCCTGGTCTCGGACGGAAGGTGGAGGGATAAACCTGCGACCAAGAAAAATAGAGAGGGGCATATGCGAGCTGAAACAGAGATGAGGAATGCGTGGGAGATTCGGACTAATCGTGTTGGATAAAAAGCTATTTAACAGGGATCATCAAACCATCTTTTGATTTGGAACTGGTGCAGAAGGGTTTGTCCAGTGATGGGTTTAAGGTAAAGGTCGCCAACTGGGGGTACGCATAGAACTCCTGCATTATCACCTTTGGGTCGGCTGAAGAGCTATCGGAGATGTAGACGTAGAAGAAAGAGGACCTATTTTTTTGGTTTGACTGGCTTGATCCACTTCTGAGTAAGGATGGAATCCCAATGGCGTTATGCTCAATTGAACTGTATGGAGTTCCACTATTATGCTGGAATGTTCTGTTCCTGGAGAGGCTTGCTGGGCAGTGGGAGAAGCTGATTTGCATTTAGGAGTCGACGAACAATAGAGAAGATTTGTCAGCGGCAAGGTTGCTGGTGAGGGTGGCGAGCCCTTTCGACGTTCCGAATACGGTCACGTTAGGAGTATATGGGAGATCCTTTAAGGTGAAAACTAAGATGGGGTCGGTGTTTAGAAAACCAAATGTTTTTTCAGAAAAGGCAACAGAGGGAGTAAGGATGTAGCGTCGGAGGATGAGGATGGAGGTCGGACAACAGTGGCGGAAGGTAGAAGTTAACAGTCAGTTGAGGAAGCTCGGTTAAGGGTTGACACGTGGATGGAAGGGGGAGGAGTTGCTGGATTTGTTGGCGGCAGTGGGGGACAACAGTCATCGCTGAAGGAGAGAGAAAGGGAACATAATAAAGAATGGGTGTCAAATACCCTCGTTTATGGGAGTAATTATAGAGGGGAATATGAGGGGCTTGGTCTTCGTAAGAATGTGAATATGGAGTGGATTGAACAAGCCCAATCTGATGATAATTGCGAGCCCATTTCTCCCAATTTGAGAATTAAACCGTCTGGGCCTGCACTGAATTTAGCTCTGTTGGGGTTTGGCAAATAAAGAGAGGGTCGGGCGGAGCCTCAAGTGGAGCTGGAGCAGGATGTCTCGGAAAGAGTCATACGAGAGACAGGAATTGTTGTTGATGGACATCTAGGTAATACACAAGAAAGGGTTTTAACCAGAAGTTCTTCCCCGCTAACGAATTGGAGACGCACAAGCAGTGGTTCAACATTGTTCTGCGACAGAGTGTCTAGTAGATCAAATAAAAAGAAGTCTAGAGTGGATTCGGATGTGGGTTTTTCTGCGTTGGAAGATTCTGTAGCGAATGAGGAGCTCTTGTGTACTTGACAGATTAGCAAAATGATGGGGGTAACCTTTAGGGGAGGGAAGAACACTTTTGCTACGAAGTTTTCGGAAATGACTACAAACAGGGGTGAGGTGGGTGGGAATTAATCCCACAGCTCTGGATAAGATGTAAATTTTGTTGTTAAATGGTTGGGTTCTTGTGTGTGACTTGGAATATAAGGGGGTTGGGAAGGAAGGAAAAGGCAAGGGTTGTCAACAACTATCAGACGAATGATGCCTTTGGATTGTGCTTTCGTAATCACCTTACTCTGCAAGTGAAGAAGGGAGATTCCACTTTGTTTTGGCATGATAGTTGGTTATGCAACATTCCATTGAAGACAAACTTCCCTAGGTTGTTCACCTTGTCGGATAAGAAGGATTGGGTCATTGAAAACTTTGGATTCCTAAGCAATGGGAGGTGGGTCTAGAATATTCAAATGAGACGAAATTTGCTGGATTGGGAAACTGAACAATGGATCGAATTGTTGTCTTTGTTGGATAGTGTTTGTCTTGGATTGGAGGTGGATGATTGTTGCGCTTGGAAGGGAAATGGGGACAGTGTTTATTCGGTTAAATCATGCATTAACTTAGTATCTAACCTGTCTGATCCGGATTTGTCTTGGTCGAAGCTTGTTTGGGTTGGTTTAGCACCTCCAAAAGTGGAGGTTTTAATTTGGCAAGTGTCCCACCAGAAGTTGGTTGTTAAGACTGTATTAATGAGTCAGGGTGTTAGATGGATCGAGGATTCTCTCTTCTCGATCTGTGGATTGGAGTCGGAGTCGGTGCGCCACTTATTTTTCTCGTGCATAGTAGTTTGGGTGATTTGGGTGCGGTTTCTACGATTGTGGAATATATATACAGTTTTGCCCAATAATCCCAAAGGTTTTATGTATTCCTGGTTTGTTTTACTTCCGGATTCGGACATATGGAAATTCGTCCCGGGTGATGTAATGTGGACTGTATGGAAATGTCGAAATCATATAGACTTGGAAAAAAAATAAAAAAATAAAAAAATAATGTGCCTTATTTCTTGAATGAGTACAAGGCTTCCTTTTATACAGAGGGAAATTACAACAAAAAAAGGAAACTAATTAGAGTCAATATTTGACAGCTTCTACTTTCCTACTTTGTCTTAATTTACATCTTTTACTTTCTATATTTACATAGAAAACAAATCCTAGAATATCTCATTGATTATGACTAAATCAAGGTTTTCAATGACCAAATTTCCAACATATAGTGTTCGAGAATGGTAGGCTGGATCAGACTAATCTTTTCTTTTTGGCTAGGTATAGGGTGGCTTCATGGTTCTCGACAAAGAACTCAAATTTCCCTATCCTTCTAGATTGCCTTGTGGGAGACTTAACCTTGCCTGATTTGCACCGTTTTCCTACGAAGAAAGTTTCCCCTAAGTCACAGTGGTGTCCCCCTCCTCTGGGATCTTTTAAAGTGAATGTGGATGGGTCCGTAAGTTGCGACTAGAGGTACAATTGTATTGGTGGTTTGCTTAGGGATGTTGATAATAAGAGGTTAGGGTATTTCTCAGGAGCGTCCGAACCAGGCCCTCTGATCCTTGCTGAGCTTAAAGCAATTCAAGCTGGTTTAAGTTTGTTTTTGGATTCGGAGTGGCGTGATAAGGGGATTCTTATTTTAGAATGTTGAAAATTCTTAAATTAAGGAGATTCTCTACTTTAGTTCTAAGAATTTTCTTGTAAATATTAGCCATAATTTAATTACTAATTTTTAAGGATAGACTAATTATTAGAAATTATTTCCTTTTTATTATTTTTCTGCTATGTTAAAAGGGTGTACTCCTATTAAAAGAAATGAGAATTTTTCTTCTTCCTAAATCTGTTCATGGTATCAGAGTCATAGGATTCATTTGACCTACTCATTTGTTTCTCATCTCTCTTCTTAAACAATTTTTTTCCTTCTCTCATGGGTGATATCAATGAAACTCTCTCTGAGACTAAAATCTCACAAATTACTCAAAATCACATCCAATCCCTCAAATTGACCTTAACTCCTCTCTTACAATCACAAATCATCGATTAGATGGAAAAAAAATTCTTGTAATGGTCACAATATGTCCTTATGGTTCTTCGTGGCCGAGGAAAAATTGGGTACATCAATGGAGACATTCCCCAACCAGCATCGACAGAATCTGATTATCCAACTTGGGAGCTTAACAACTCAATGGTTATGGCTTGACTTATAAATTCG